TTAAACCACAGACGCCTCTGTGCTGCAGGGTCAGAAGACCAGCAGTTGTAAGATCGAATCCACGCAACGAAGTGAGCTCCTGTCACTTGTCCCAGCTCCTGCCAACCTAGCCGTACAAAAGCATGCAAATAGATTAAAAGGTACCACCTCGGTACCTCGTTCCGTGTCTAGTCGCACTGGCCACGTGATCACGGAAACTGTCGATGGACAAACACTGGCTCTACGGCTTGGAGACGGGGATGAGCACCGCGCCCTAGAGTTGGACACGACTGGACTAAATGTCAAGGGGAACCTTTACCTTCACCTAGATGGTAGTACATGGAAAAAATAAAACATCCCCTGAAAATAAACCCTGATGCATTTTTTTTGGAACAAAAAATAACATAAGACCCTTTCTTATTTCCAGCGAAACATGGTACTAATTCGTGCAGACAAACTACAGCAACCCACGGTTCACAATTGCACCTTGACAAAATAACCAAAGGTCGGAATGGCCCAAATGTCCACATAATACAGGCCATTTCTTCTTCTTTTAGCAACTGCCAACAAGCGCATCTGAAAATCTCTGATTAACCACAGTCTTTTGTTTCATCGGATCCTGAAAGTGGCTACAGGACCTGTCAAGCTATTCTCAGGTAGGTTCCGCAAAGGCATTATTTCTAAAAGGGACATACGCCCTGCATGTCCATAGGACAAGGCAAGAGAAAAACAAGCACAAAAAAACTCCAGCTGCTCACATTTATTCCTTTGAAAAAGGTCCTCTGGAGCAGTTAGTTGTGTAGCAAAAGAGCTGGGTGCAAAATACCCGTGCAGTGGTTCCTGTTGGTTCATTTCTCGTCTGAACAGGTGTTCGGCGCTTCCCACCTCCTCCTCTGATGGGCGTCCACTCAGAGGCAGTGCTCGCCGACAGGTGCCCACTCTGAGTAGGCACCCCCCTAGAGGAGGCCGGGTTGGCAAGCACCAAACACCTGACCGGCCAAGAAACAAGTTGGCACCAAAGGCCGAACAAGCAGTTCACGGCCATCTCCACGTGGCAGCATCTCTGAAGAGCATAGGCTGCAAGATTGCCATGGCACGACAAGTTTTCAGGACCTCAACGATCATCACCCATTGCTACAAAAACAAGGCTAACCAGTCCAAAGAAACACACTCTCAACATACCAAGATAACAACAATACAGCCTAATTAATATACTTGGTTATTGATAGACAAACAGGCACCTTGGTGTTGGCACAAGATGTATAGAAAAACCGAAACGCCTGTCCAACGTGCACCAAGAAGGCGCATCAGCTTGGGCGGCTGGCTAAAGATGGTAGGTGCTGTAATCCAGAGTAGCAGCCTAGACTGTTAACCTCTTCTTCCTTAAAAAGCAGCCAAACCGTAAGGAGCTAAATCCAGTTTTATGCACAGAAATCGACGGGGGGAGGGTCTCCAAATGTCCACTAACCATTCCCATGCATTTCCGCAGATTCACCTTGGGCTGGCATGAGGGCTGGGTTAAGTGTTTTCATTCTCTTGAAATCATAAAACATGTTAACTGATGGACAACCGCCATGATGTGCTTTAGGAAAGAGCACTGCCTTTGGCTTCACGGTGCACATTCAGGTTAAATTCACGAGATGGATCCAGGGCCTTGAAGAACATGACCTCTCTCTTGGTACTCCAAGTACAAGCTCAACTGGGGCCTGATGTGGCATGTCGAGACAAACATCCGCATCAGAATCCCTTTTTTAAAAATTGTATTTTAAATAGGACGATATAAAGCGTTGCTTTGCCAAGTCCTGTGTCAGCAGCCAAAGCCTCCGTAAGACTAGGTGCCCATCTCAACAATCCCTGAGAAAACTCTTGTCGGCTTCCACTCCGTTACTAAACACAGCTCCAAACACAGGTGCCTACCCCCAAGAGCTTTTACGTGCCTTTAAAACTCAGGTGCCAGAAGAACTGCTAACTCCCACATGGGCGCATCTCCTCCTGCTTGAATCCGGGGGCCTATCTTGTCAGAGTTTTATTTTCCAGTTATGGTGCTTAGATTCTAGTTCTCCCAATGCTTTAATGCCGCTCAGTCTGTCCTTTTTTCCATTTGTTATTTTATATTTTGCATTTTTATTATTTTGTTGATACGACAGACATATCGTCCTTTAACGGAAGGGGCATAAACATTTTATAGCCTTGGTTTTGCCCACATTAGTAGCAGAAACCTAACCCCCTCGGGGAGCAGCGGATACTTAAGTGGGCCATAAACATGATCCAGTTTTCCGGTGATGGACTTAAAACCAAATGCTGTCCACCCTGGCCTTAGACATTAAGTCTCATCTAATTTGCTAATAGATTTACATTTGTCCTTGTGGAGAAATTCCGTAACCAACTAGACTCTTCTGGAAAAGCTCATCCTGAAAGCTGACTCTTGACTCCAAATGTGACAGCACTGGAGGAAGGCCATTTGCCCAAGGAACACTCCTCGGCTACACACGAATTGCTGGTGGACTTTAATTAGTTTTTCAGGTACCTCTTTTGGTCAGCTGGAAGAGACACAGATCTCTCTGGCTTACAGACACAGAAAAGCTGGCAAATGAAATGGCCAGCTTTGTAACAAGCGCCTCGAAAAGAAAGCTTCGCCCCTCCAAATCTTTGCCTAAACTCCACTTCCTTAGCACCGGAAGGCAGAGGACCAAAGTTTACAAATTACAGGAAAAACAGAAGCATATATAGAGAAGTGTAATGAAAATTCTGTTTGTAATAAACAGAGATAATGGAAACCATTTGTTCAACAACTTCACGACAAAGGTATATACAAATAAAAATAAACAGAATGCAACAATTTTTAAAGCTGTTTTAAGTATCAACACGAGTTTTGGAGTTTGACGAACTAAGTATTCAGTAACCCTCATTTTTCACCTCCCAACCTTAAGAGAAATTCAGACGGCAGGTTACTTTCTCATAATTTTGCTTAGCTGCAGAAACACACTCAGCCTAGTCCAGACACAGGTAGCCCAGAAGGAGCCTTTCTCAAAGTCCCTGTGAAATCCTGAGCAGTAACTCATGAGCAGAGAAAGCAAACAGGGGCCTTGAGCAGGGAGTGAGAGAGAAGGCTACCACAAGCCTTGCACAGGACCAGAGAGAGACACACACCAAAAGAACTTCTGCAGGGACCCACAACACCTGTGGCATGTCTGCCTGCCTTCCTGCAAATGCAGAAAGCGAACCCCACAGAAAGTCCAATCTAAAGGCTCTCCCAGAAGAGAAAATGCAGTGACAATTGAGTCCCGCCTGCCCACATTTTGGCACAATAGAAAAGATGAAGCACGGAGCTCTGTAGACTCTCCCAGAAGAGGGGAACAGCCCCGAAGAGGAGGAGGAGAAAGAATAGCCAAGCAACACAGAGATGCAGGACGATCAGGAAGCTGCAGTGCGACCCTGCCCGATCTCAGGCCCTCCTCTTGGGCTGAGCTGCTGGAATAGGGGCACCAGGCATGGCAGACGTGCCCGCGGGGGAACCTGTGGGCAGGAAGAAGAGGGTGAGGCCGGTAAAGGGATGCAGCCGTCGGCAGCCCTGACAAGATGTCTCAGCAAGTGTGCCGACCCCCTGGCCATAGAAGGAAGCCGCTGGAAGGAATGACCTGTTGTTTCAAGGCACTCCACACTAATAATGCAAAGAAAGTGGGAAACAAACCCTGCGCTTTAAATCTCGACCCTTGAAGATAAACAGGATGGAATAGGCATTGGAGAAATGGACTCTTGACTGGCACATAGTGACTGAAGGGTACAATTTATTCAGAGAGACTAAACCGGGAAGGAAAAACAGTAGCAGCTATGTAGGTAAAGGATTGTGTGCCACTCTGAGACCATGAGTTGGACCAGAGGATGCTGGTGGAGAGCTTACAGATCAAACCCGCAGGAGAGAGAAACAGTCGTTAACCTGGGTTTAATCATTAATCCAACCAGCGACAGCAGCCACACTATTCCTGGATCCCTGAGACTCAGAAGCTGTGAAGGCGCTAGAAAACACCCCAGAAAGTCAGAGGTGTCCCTTAAGACCCAGGCCAGGGTCATCCATTCCTGCTTAATATGTACACCACTGGAAAAGACAACAATGCTTGGAAAAACAGAGGCAGTAGAAGATGATGATGATGATGCCAAAATATGAGATGAAGCGACCCCCTAAAGGAAGCCATGGCCTTATTGTTTGCAAAGCCTAAGCCGGGCTCTTCACAGGAGTTACCCTAAGCTGGAAGCTCTCGATGACACACGTCTCCAGGATCTACCCCAAAATCGCCATCACAAGACCAGACAGGCTCCCAGCCAGATATACAGTTGGGCTAAGGGTAGCCATCAAATGCAGAGAAGAGTTCTTTGAGGAGGAGACTTGAGAGAGAGAGAGAGAGAGAGAGCCATCTCAGAGGCACTCTCAGCTCCGTGTTAACTCGTGACTGATGAAGCAAAGGCACCGAACCAAAAATAAAAGGGGGGGGGGCGGAAGCTGAATGAGTTACACATCCGTCTGGCAGAAAGAGCACAAAGGTGACTTAGGCTTCCAACCCTCTGGAAAAACCTCTGTTTGGGAGGGGACGCAGTCAGACCACCTTCTCCACAAAGACACCAACAATTCATTTTTTAAAAAAATCAGCACAAAAGGGAGAGCAGGGAGGAACACTTGCCGGGTCTCCGTCCTACAACCACAGGTGGCCCCGCCCAAAGGCCGAGGCCAAGATCCAACGGTCCGTCCCAACAAGAGCAGGCACCCCAACCTGGTGAGAGGTTCCTCTGTATGGACCCATCCGTCAGCAACGGATGGCCCGACTCCACCCTGGTGGGAATTATCAAACGGATTTACGGGACAATCACAACTCGGAATGTGCTTCCTTTCAATGGATACAAAACGGCCCCTTTCAAGTCCTAGGACATGGAGCAGGTTGGTTTGTTTTTAAAATAAATAAAAATCTAAAGAAACAAGTTGAGAAGAAAAAAAAACCCAAAAGATGCTTTTCTAAGATTACCTTTACCTGCTTTAGCGGACGCTTGAAACCGGGATGCTGGCAGGCGGCGCAGACAGTGCTTGCCGATCTGTACCAGGCCCTTTGGGGCAGCTCTTCTGGCCGTGGGCGAGGACCTTCCCCGGGGGGAGGTCTTTTTCCTGAGCGAATAGCGACTCTTCAGGAGCAGGCTGGGCAAAGAGGCGTTCCTCTTATCCGCTGGAGAGCTGAAAGGACAACGAAGGCAGTGACCAAGTCATCACGATTACCTGCAGCCACATTACATGGTGGGCCTCAGCGCAGCTGCCCCCGTGCAATTCCAGGAGAACATCCACCCTGCTAAACCCGCACTGGAAGCAGAATGACAGAGAGACAGAGCTATGTGGAGTTGAGCCCATCCAATCTTTTTTTTTTTCCCCTCCTTATCGGTTTTACAAAACTAAAATGCCAAGGCCATCTGTGCAGGATTGTGCACACTCCTTTTTAAAACCAGTGAACAGCATGTTTATTTATTTAGCCTTTGAGAATAGCATGTTTATTTATTTACTTATAGGGCTTTTAGCCCAGCCAGCTTAGTGAAACATGACTTGTGTGATTTACATATTTAAGAAAAAGTTGGATTTAAATAAGCACGCTACTCTAGAACCACAGGAATACCTGCAAGCCTGTCCACCTTCCACAATTCTGCCTGCTAAAAAATAATAAAAGGTACATTTTATTTATTTATTTTTAATTTAATCAAATGTGTGTGATGATTTAAATAAAAAATATCAATTTTAAAAATATATTTAAATCATGATTTAAATCAATTTGATTTTTTCTGAACAATCATCCGCCCTGAATAAAATACACCTCATATTCTGCGGTGACTGAATGAACAGCACTCAGTTCCTGTTGCATGGACTGCTGTGCTGTTTTTCCCCCTTTTTTCCATTTGCCACACGGTTCACTAAAATACAAGTTTTATATGCATGTTTATAAATACATGTTAATTTGCCAAACATGCACCCAAAGTTGAATAGTCAGCAAGTGGCCAAAGTCCATTTCTCTGAAAATGCTACCCTGTGGTTGTTGTTTAGTCATTAAGTCGTGTCCGACTCTTCGTGACCCCACAGACCAGAGCACACCAGGCCCTCCTGTCTTCCACTGCCTCCTGTGTTGTGTCAACTCCTGTAGTAGCTGTGCAAATTCTCACTTCCACTTTATATGCTGTGAGATGACAACAAAAACATACATGGAGGGACAAGGTCAAGGATTCCAGACCACAAGGAAGCATAAGGAGATGTGACAGAGATCGTAAGTGACAGAATGCCCTATTTCAAAAAAACAAGCGAAGGATGGCTTGCCTGAACTTTTCCCCATCAAAAACACGGGAGGAGGGGAATCACCCAGGAACATGGGACAGTAGCAATGATGGGAACAGACAAGGATAGAATCCTGCAGACCAGCATGTTAGTTTTCTGCAGGAAAGGTCTACGTGTTTGCCCATTTCTGGTAGAATTTAAACATACAGTGCAAGTGTCCAAACTCATTCTGAAATGGTGCAGGCCTGTCTGGGTTATTTCCTCTGGGAAAACACCCTCAGACTCTGGGCTTCCAAATATCCAGATACATGGGGGTTCTAGAAACAGCTAACAACTACATTACAGATTTCGAAAATACTCTGATAGCTCCACTAGATCGCTCCATGGTTGTCACAAATATGAGAGATCTTTCTGAGATGCCTCTCCTTGCCACAGCACCTCAACTGGGATGCCTCGTGTCCCAACCAGGCATATGCCACTGCCTTTAAACCCTCTTCCTCATTCCAACAGAACCCGTTCCGAATTCTGCAAAAGAATACATCACTGGCCTCCTGGCTCAAGTTCTCCACATGCAAAGAAGGGGCAGGCCACAGAACTGTCAAAAGGCGACTCTTGGAAGAGTGGTGGAATTAACCCCACAGAATCCATGACTTACCAGGCGCTTCCCTTCCTTTTGATGATTTTAGTGCGGCTCCTTAGTTTGTAATTTAAAAAGCCTGTACTTCCAAAGGAGGATCTTGGGTTCCCGTGACCAAGAGGCAGGCACCTCATGGCCTGCAGGGAAGTGCTGGCTCCCACCTGGGAGAAAACCCCGGCCTGGTTGCAATCCTTCCGCCGCCACGTGAACGTAGACATGGAGGGAGAAGGCTGGAGGCCAGATGCTTTCCACTTATACTGGCTAGAAGAAATCCCAAGCTTGGAAGAAAGCACGCTGGGCTTCTTCTGCTTTGCTCCCAAGTCCCTCGGCTGTGGCTTGGCAAGATTCTCGGAACCCACCGCCGAGTGGCGTGCGTTTTCAGGGGACTTGGAGGCAGCCCACCTCTTTGCAGGCCGGCAGGATTTACTTGGATTTGCCACCCAAGTATAACTGGCTTTCCTCAATCTTGGAGATCTGACTGAAGTGGACAAAACAGGATCTTTGGGGAGGGGAGGCTGGGATTGCTTGTTCTCAGCCAGACTTGCCCCCAAAGTTGAAGGCGCTTCCCATGCAGAATTAGTGCACAAAGCTGATGGATCAGCAGCCCTCAATGGGTTGGGTTTGTCTCTCCCTGCAGGGGGCCGCTGCAAACTGTGCAAAGCTGGAACCTGTAGTGCTGGTGTCTTCCTGGCTGACAGATCACAGGATTCATGGCCAGGCAAGGTTAAAGGCTGCTGAAGTTCAGATTTCAGTGTTACAGCACTCTCGCTGATAGTCCTGCACACACTGGGAGCACGTTGTGATGCCTCCTGGACTGTTTTTGCAGTCCCTGATCCCTTCCGACACGTCGCAGGTCGACCATCAACCTGACTCCGATCAACGGTCTTGCAGGGCAGGACGTGTGGCACGCTTGAGGCCTCCAGTTCTTTTTTTTCTTTTGACCCAACCTTTAAAGGCCATGCCACGCCACTTGCACATCCTCTAGACGTAGCTGGGCCCTCCAATGATACTGCCAGACCCTGCTGGAAACTTGAGACCGTGGTACTACCTGCTGATGAGCCAGGTTGCACCAAAGCAACGCTATTCCGAGGACTGAGGCCTACATTTCTTTCTGAGGCCACCGGCTGCAGCTCAGCAGCCTCCTGGCTCAGAGTGGTCGTCGTGGCTGTAGCACTAGCAGAAATGCTGTGTCCAGCGGGGAGGGTTGGTCGCGAGGGTACGTTGACCAGAGAATACTTGTTTCTCCAGGCACTGGCTTTATTAGGGTGAGGTGGAAAATCCCTCTGCATTTGCTGAGGACACCTCGTAGAGAATCCACCTCGGCTGCTGAAAGCAGGTCTGGAATTTCTCCACCGCGGCGTTGGGGCCAGTGGGGGAAGTGGTGCATTCCCATGAACATTTTTATGGTCATTGATGAGACCTAAAAGGAAAGCAAGAAAGGGCTTCTTTTAGTGGTGCCTTCTAACACTCACCAGCCCGTTAGTTGTGCACAAGTTTTTCCACACACCCATACTATGATACCTTGGCCATATCATTTGTGCAACACAGTCTTCTTCATTAGAGGTGATGCATGGATTTTCTGGAATTCAAGGACTCCCAGTCCCATAATTCAGCAGGAAACACACACACCTCAGGGCTGAATGACAGAGCCAGGAGCCCTCAAACTGGCAGGAGTTTCAGCGGCTCACTCACCCTCTATGCCACCCCTGAGCCGTTTCATAGAAGAACACCCCTCTGCACCCAAGGGAGTTGCAAGCCTTCCTTGCAACTTACAAAGGCACATGAGGGGGAATGAGTCCTGATGGAGGCGGCCTCCCTATAGATGCCTAAGTGATTTAACAAAGGCCTCCAAAACCGAGCCCACAAGAACAAAGCTTAAAATGGATCCTAAGGAGATGTCAGCAGAAGCTTTGGTGAACCTCCAAAGACAGAGCTCCACAATGGTCAACAAGCCACGAAGCACCTCTTTCCCCACACCCTCATTAACTCCATCTGGATGGCAAGGCACGCAGGACAGCTTTAGTACGACAAAGATTTGATACACCACATCACATTCTACAAACACGTTCTATTGCTGTTATTCATCTTCAGATATTTGCAAACTGCTTCTACCTGGAGACGTCAACCAATAATATGGCAGAACTAATTTGTGCAACCTCGGACATTAGCAAGATCTGTTGCTTATTTACATATTTAAAATATGCATACCCTGCCTTTCTCCTAAAAATGACCCAAGGAGGCTTAGCGTATTAAAACATCAGGCCAAAATCTAAGGAAAAATAAAAAATTAAGAAGACAAAAAACATCTGGGCACCTTAAAGACTAACTGCTAGGTGAGCTTTCATGAACAAGTCCACTTCTTCAGACATACCTGGCAAATATGTATGCATTTATTTATACATGGCCCCAAACCAGAGACCCAAGTTGTTAATCTTTCAGTTAAAAAGGTTTAAAAAACCAACAAAAGGAAAAACTAAGCACCCTAAATGACTGCAGCATTTTAAAAAAGGAACTCAGTGACTATAAAAAAAAAAACAAAGGGACGGGTGAGACTTGCGAGGGGCTTTCCAAACAGAATCCTGGGCAGGGTTTGTTTTTTTACATGCCTTTTCAGTATCGATTTTATTCACTGCTTCCTAACACAGGACGCGTTGAATTCCTTTTTGAAACCTTGGCAGGCTCCCTGTTGTTTTTTTTAAATAGGCTTTCTTAAGGGTTGTCAGCCCCCTTGCGTCCCCTCCAAAGGAGAAATATATCCAATCGGAAGGCTACGGGGTTTTTAAAAAAAACAGTCCTAGAAGCCAATTAAATTCCAGAGAAAAAGGAAAAACAGCCGTGAAGGTTTTATGCTGTGGTGGTGATGAATTCTTTTATCTTTATATCTTTTTACTGTATTTAAATCGTTGTAACCTGCTCAGAGACCTTTGGGTAGTGTGGGCGGCGTATAAGTTAAATAAATAAATAAATATTATTACTAGTATTATTTTCGGGATGGGCTCCCGGGACAGGGAGGGAGGGAAAGAGGGAGGAGA